AGAACCCTGCTTGGCTCCAGGGTGCCCTGGGTTTCTTGGGCGTCGATGGCTCTGCTATGGAAAGCGTGACGTTCCCACACCAGAAGTCAATGGACGTCCTGGGGTCTCTGGGTTGGGTTTCTTGTGGAAGGTTTCTTGTGGTCGAGCCCTTACTGTATATCGCCTCCTCATTACTTCACGCTCGATCGAGCTGTGGGGGTCTCCAGACGGTGCGGTGACAAACCGTGCCGTGTGACCTCGAAATCCCCAAAGACCCCACCGCACGGTCTATCCCCAAGATCTGGGCACAGGACTTGGTTCCCACCCGCCCTGTTGGCCTGGTTGTGGGCCCCGGGGCCTTCCCAGATTGGTCTGGCCCGAAAAACGCGGCAGAGAGTTGGGGTCCAGGGTTCAGGTCGTGCTTTTTCGCGATGTCGCAATTTTCTCGTAACGTCGGATCTCAGGGCAAGGCCGTGCGGTCGCCCTGGATTCCCCCGCGGCTCACCACTCGGCGTGGTCCCCGCACCGTTCGGGCCCCCCCCGCTCGAGAGGCCCGGCGTCGTTGCCACCGCCTCCTCTTCTTCCACCGCCTCCTCCTCCTCCTCCTCCTCCTCCTCCTGCTGCTCGTCCTCCTCCTCCTCTTCCCCCTCCTCCTCCTCTTCCTCCTCCTCGTCGCCGTCGCCGCCGCCGTCGGAGGGGAGGAGCCCCTCAAGAGGCACGGCGTGTCCCTCCGGGCGCTGGAGGAGCCCGCGCTCTTTGCGTCCTGGGCGGGGAACAGGTCCACGTCCATGTCCACGGCCTAGCGGGCGGGTTCTTGCTCGCGGATGCCGCCCCGCGCGGACCGTCTCCATGCGACCGCGTATCCACGGGATCGCGCCCTGGCATCCAGTTTGCGAGGGCGTCGATGTGGACACGTTCGCCGCTCGTGATCTGTTTATTGTTTGTGTTCCTCTCTTTCTCTCACTCTTTTCCGCTCCTTCTCGCGTTATCTCTTTATTTCGTTGTTCTGTCACCGTCTCTCTGTCTGTCTCTCGCTGTCTCTCTCTTTCTCTCTCTCGCTCTCTCTCTTTCTCTCTCTGGCCGCCCCTTGAGGCGGATGAGGGGGAGGAGCAAGGAGGGAGGAGGAAGGAGGCAGAAGTGAGAGGATGAGGGGGAGGAGGAGGCGGAGGAGGAGGAGGCTGGGAGGAATGGGGGAGGAGACGGAGAGGGAGAAGGATTTGGGTGGACGAAAGCGGGGCGGATCGTCGAGCAGTATCCCTCGTCCACTGCATCAAACGTCCCCGAGATCCGCCGATATTATGCTTGATGTTTTGCTTCTGGATCCGTTCTTGATGGCCCCATGGGGCCCCGAAGCGGCCCCGTATAGGAAGCATCAGCAGATTCACCATACTACTCTTACGGCCAAGACGCTGACAGATGGACCGCTTCGGGTTCGGAGGGGGCTCGATGCTCTTTGGGTCACTCTGTGGCTGTTAACTTACACTCTGGCCCTCCTCATGCGCCCGGGCGCTCGTCGCGCCCCGAAATGAGCAAGGGGCTTCGCTCCTTCTCTGGCGCTCCTGATTTCAGCAGCCCGACTGAATTCTTGAATCGGGCCTGTCCTTCTACAAGAGGATACTCAAAAATAGTCAAAACATAATTTGGGAACGATATTTTGAGTATGTTCTGGCTATTGTGAAAAAGTTTCGAATATTTGTTTCGTCGAAGATCCTCCTGCAGGGGGACATGCCCGACCTAACTCTGGCGCTCCTTCTTGCAGCAGCCCGACGGTCTCCTCGGAGGCCTGGGAGGGAGCCACGTCGGGCAGCCCAGAACCCCGACGTCAGGATTGCTTCATGACCCAGACCCTCCTCCTCCTCCTCCTCCTCCGCCTCCTCCTCCTCCTTCTCCTCCTCCTCCTCCTCCTCCTCCTCCCTCCTCCCTCCTCCTCCTCCTCTCTTCTCCTCCTCCTCCTCCTCCTCCTCCTCCTCCCTCCTCTCCTTCTCCTCTCCTCCTCCTCCTCCTCCCTCCTCCTCCTCCTCCTCCTCCTCCTCCTCCTCCTCCTCCTCCTCCCACTCCTCCTCCTCCTCCTCCTCCTACTACTCCTCGAGTCATGACGACAGCAATGTTTTCCACAATTTTCTGCCTCTGCGGGCCCCCACCGGGCCTCAGGACCGGCAACAAAACGACCCAGGATGAAACACGGGCGCCGGGAACGGTCGAAACGGCCAGGGGCGCACTGACCTGGGTCTGGGTGCAGGATCCTGCAGGACCAGGATCTTGCAGGCCCGGACTGGCCTGGGTCTGGATGGACCCGGGCCAGCAGATCCCCGACAGAAGATAGCGACAGACCTTCCGCCGTGATCTCCGCATGCTTCGAGGGTGTCTTGGAGCGGCCCTCGCGCAGGGCCGCCGCGGCGAGGCGCTCGGAAGTCCTCTGCGGACGGCCCCCGTGGCGGCCTCTCCTCGCGAGCTCACCGCGGGGGCCTCCCGCGCGGGCGGCCCTGGGCCGCGGGGGGGGGGGGGGAATGGCCCGCCGATTCGACGGCGGGGTCCGCGCTTCCGCCTCGGTTCGGCTGGATTGAGCGTTTGTTTTATGATGTTCCAACCTATTTTAGCTTTGGTCACCAGAAAGAATGCCGAGCGCCAGAAAAGCATCCCCAAACTCGAGGATTTTCGCGTGTCGGGCCCTGGGAGACACTCGTCCGACACTGTTTCGGCACTATTTCGACAGTTTTTCGACACTTTTCCGGATGCTCGAAATTGTTTCTGGGATGTGGTCTTGAAGTACGATGGGAGCAACGTAACGCTTGTTTGTCCTTGAGATTCAGGCAAGTTTACTTGTTCGGCGTTCACCCCCCCCAACACCCTCGCCCCTCTTCAGTCGAATGCGAGCGTGCAAGTGCCTCTCGACTTGCGTGGCTTCCGCACGTCAAGTCGTTTGGGCTTCCGCACGTCAAGTCCTTTGCGGCTTGCTTCCGGTTCAGCCCCCACCCCCCGTCCATGCAGGTAAATTTATTTGCCAGAGTCTACAGCAAGAACGTGCTCTCTGGGCTCACCGGCCTCGGCCGGGGGCAGCCCGAGCCGGGCGCGTCGCGACCTGGCTTCGAGTCGGTCTGGGCACGAGGCCGTCGGCGGCCCGATGCGCCTCCGACCCGACGCGGTGTCTTTTCGTGGCTCGATGCAGCTCGGGCCCGGAGGGAGGAGCGCTTGCGGGGGCGGGGAGGCACGGCGGCGGGGCACGTCGCTGCTCAGGCCGTCGCCCCCCCCCCCCCCCCGGGGGCGATCGGGGCAGCGCCAAGATCTCCCTTTGAGCAGGCCCGGCGCCTGCCCGCCACGCGCGTGGATGCGCCGCCTCCTGCGCGCGGTGCGCATGCCGCCCGAGGTGCTGCTGGGGCTGGAGGCGGGGCTCGGCGCGAACGGTTTTTGGGCGACTTCGTGGACCCGCGTTGTCGTTCTGACTCCCCTTTGCAGCGAAGGCGGAACGAAGACAAAACCCAGACCCCCGACGTCATGATTTTTCATGACGTCGACCCCCAGAGGTTTCGACCCATTCCCCGGGACCAGTTTTCCATCCCGAGTCGTTCTTTTGACGGTCCTGAGGCCCACTCAGGGCCCCCAGAGGCCGAGAGTGTTGCAACGCCTCCCGTCATGATGCCTGTTTCATTAACCTCGAGGGGGTCTGGGAACGAGGGAGCACGAAAACAGCGCGAAAACGAGCCGCACTGCTTTGTCGGAAACTGGAGCATATACATGACCAGTGGCGGGCGGCTTTTCAATCCCAGGACTTTTTTGAGGGTCGGGGACGATGTCGGGGTGGTGTGGTGTATACTTTTTTCCCCCTTTCCCCAGGGAAACGACGAAGAATGTACCACCAGGATCCCGTAGACACCATGCTCCGCTTCCCCGTGCGAGGTTCAGTGCGAGGCCAGACTTAAGGGCGTCGGTGTATGCGGAGTTCGGCCCCTTCCTTTGGCTTGGCATCGCTTGGACGCGTGCATTTTTCCTTCGGCGAGGATCATCGAGAAGCCTCCTTGACCGTTTGGCGAAAAAACCACGCACGAAACCAAAAAAAACACAGGAAATGGACGTCCGAGCGATGGCCAGTTGGCCGAGCCCTGGCCGGAGGCCGCCGGGGCGCCCCACGCGGCGCGGGGCGGCCCCCTGGCGCAGCGGGCCCTGTGGCTGCCCGGCCCGGGCCCCGGCCTCCGCCTCTGCCTGTCGCGGCAGCTCTCGTCGCCGCCGCGCCTCTCGCTGCGGGCGGTGGCCGGGTGGCCCGAGTAGGCGGGTGGGCCTCAAGTCTTTTTCCACCACCGCTGCCACCTGTAGGACGGGGGAGGAGGGGAGGAGGAGGGGCTCCTCCTCCTCCTCCTCCTCCTCCTCCTCCTCCTCCTCCTCCTCCTCCTCCTCCTCCCTCCTCCCTCCTCCCTCCTCCTCCTCCCTCCTCCCTCCTCCCTCCTCCCTCCTCCCTCCTCCCTCCTCCCTCCTCCCTCCTACTCCCTCCTCCTCCTCCCCCTCCTACCTATGGAATTGGTGGTGGAAGATGGGCCCATCATGTGTGCCCGACGCCGACGGGGCTCTCGCCGCCCTGGCCACCGCGCTCGGCGCGGGCGCCGACGTGCGGCCGCATCCGGCACTGCCAGGAGCAGCGGCTTCCCCGCAGGTTCTTCACGGTTTTCGGCTTTGGGGGCCTTGACCCCGACTCGGGGCCGTCAAAGAACGATTCAGCATGAAGAACCAGTCCAGGGGAAGGTGTCGAAACCTATGGGGGTCGACGTCATGAAAGAATCATGACGTCGAGGGTCTGGGAGCGAGGGGTGGGGGGGGAAGTGAGAAGGGGCTGGCCCTCTCAGAAGACTCGGAAGTCCTCCAGCAGTCTGAGAAGTTCTCTTTCTGAGGCTTCCACGAAGACGCAGATCACGTCTCAGAAAAGACCCGAGGGCTTCTGAGAAACCCCGCCGCCTTCTCTGAGAATGCCTTCTCCCTCTCGCGCGCCCCCTCCGCTCGCCGCCGACAAGGAGTGCTTACGGTGGCCGCCGCCGCGGCAGACGAGCCCCCGGAGCCGAACCACCCAACGGTGCTCGTCTCGGCGAGGGCTGGCGAGGCGGTCCTGCGGGGTGCCCACCTGCAGGCTCAAGTCGGGCATGTCCCTATAGTCAAAAACAGTCAGGAAATAGTATGGAAACGTTTTTTTCTACGATGCGCTCTTGAAATTTGGCGGAACGTTTGATATTTTTCCCGACCATCCTGTGGTGTTGGGTCTTCGTTTTGAAGAGACGGTCCCCGCGTTCCTCTCCTCCTCTTCCCCTTCCTCCTCCCTCCTCCCCTTTCTCCCTGCGTTTCATCCACCCAGTACAACGTTTCGTGGCCCCATATTAGGGAGCCCCACCTACGGTCCCAGTGCTACCGTCCGCATGCGTCCCGCACACCCAGTACAGCGTTTCGTGGCCCTCCTCCCCCTCCTCCCTGCGTTTCACCCACCCAGTACAGCGTTTCGTGGCCCCATAGGGAGCCCCACCGAAGGTCCCAGTGCTGCTGTCCGCGTGCGTCCCGCACACCCAGTACAGCGTTTCGTGGCCCCATAGGGAGCCCCACCGAAGGTCCCAGTGCTACCGTCCGCATGCGTCCCGCACACCCAGTACGGCGCTTCGTGGCCCCATAGGGAGATCCACCGAAGGTCCCAGTGCTACCGTCCGCATGCGTCCCGCACACCCAGTACAGCGTTTCGTGGCCCTCCTCCCCCTCCTCCCTGCGTTTCACCCACCCATTACAGCGTTTCGTGGCCTCATATGGAGCCCAACCGAAGGTCCCAGTGCTACCGTCCGCATGCGTCCCGCACACCCAGTACAGCGCTTCGTGGTACCATAGGGAGCTCCACCGAAGGTCCCAGCGCTACTGTCCGCATGCGTCTCGCACACCCAGTACAGCGTTTGGTGGCCCCATAGGGAGCTCCACCGAAGGCCCGAGTGCTACCGTCCGCATGCGTCCCGGAAGCCCAATTTGGCATTTCGTGGCCCCATAGGGGGCTCCAACCAAGGCCCCAGTGCCACCGTCCGCATGCGTCCGGGATATGTAATTTGGCATTTTCACCCGCGCAGTTCAGCGCTTCGTGGCCCCATAGGGGGCTCCACCGAAGCCCCCAGTGGGACCGTCCACATGCGTCCAGGAAGCCCAATTTGGCAGTTTTGCTCACGCAGTAGAGCGCTTCGTGGCCCCATGGGGAGCACCACCGAAGCCCTCAGTGGGACCGTCCGCATGCGTCCCGGGAAACCCAATTCGGCACACCACCCACACAGTACAGCGTTCCCCCCCGCCCAGTGCAGCGCTTCGTGGCCCCATAGGGAGCTTCACCGAGGCAGATATTCACAATTACGGTACCCACACTGCATATGGTTGGGACCTTCACCAGGATGATTTAAATTTTCGCCCAAAATCCGCGGGTAGGAGGACATGCCCGACCTAATTGCAGGCCAAGCACATCTTTGCCACCGTGCCGGCCAGCGGCAAGCTGCGCCGCGGGTCGCTGGTGTCAGTGTTCGCGGCGGCCCGCGAGACCCAGCAGGGGACGAACAGATCACGATATATCTCCTGGAGAGCCCTCGTCGCCGCGGCTGGATTCTCCCCACGAGGTTCAATGGCCAGATTGCGCCCTGCATGAGGAGTCTGGGAGAGGTGCGGTATCGGTACCCTTTCGTCCCCCCAGCCCATCCGGGGGATTTCTCCGCGCCAGACGACCTAGAGGCTGGCGGAGAGGAGGCTGCTGTGGGGGAAGCAGTTCGGCGGCTCGTGCACACGCGCTACCCAGACGGCGCCGGCGGTGCATCGACAGAGGCCATCTTCGTCGGCAACGGGATCTGGTGCCCGCCCGGGGGCGTGCGGATGTCTGCCGGCTTCGTGCCCGCAATGGCCTTGCCCTCCATGAACGGCGTCAGGGTCTCCCACGGCAGCCTGGCGCCCGCCAAGTCGGTGCTGCCAGAGTGGCTGGTGCCGCAGAGCGCCTCCTCGGCCGCCACGGTGCTCAGTGGAGGAAGAGGCACTCCTTTTTCGGCCTCCTGGGATGCCTTCGTCGCCACCGCTGGATTCGCCTCGAACTTCTGACCCCAGGAGAGGTCCCAGGCGCAGCGGTATCGGCACCTCGCTCTTGGTTTTGGCTTCCCCAGGTGCACATCCTGGCCCCCGAGCCCGGCGAGCGCGTGCTGGACCTGTGCGCCGCCCCTGGCGGCAAGACCCGGCTCGCCGCCGAGCTGATGCACAACCGGGGCGAGATTGTGGCCGTGGAGTCCAGCGAGCCCCGGCTGGCGCGCCTGAGGCAGTTGCTCGCGCACGCAGGCGCCCATCGAGGGGCAGAGAGCCCCCCGGACCCTGATGTCAGGGCGAAGGCGTGGTCTCGCTGAGGTCCCCGTCCTCGCAGCAGGGATCATCACTCTGGGCGATCTGGCCTGATACATCTGGAGCAAAAAAGACCCCCTTGTCTCGAATGTTTTTGTTGGCCCTCCTCACTTCGGTCCCCTCCCAGAGGATCGGGGGTCCTTGAATTGCTGATCAGGCGCGAGCATCGTGGAGTGCGTGCTGGCCGACGGGGCGAAGTGGAGGAGCGGCTCCCCCCGGAGGCCCTTTGACCGCGCGCTGGTGGACGCTCCCTGCTCCGCGTCGGGCCTGTGGCCCAGGCTGGACTGGAAGCGGGTCACGCCCGACGGCGTCGCAGCGCTCGCGGCCCAGCAGTTCAGCTTGCTGGCCGCCGCTGCGCGGGAGGTCCTCAGCATGCATCTCATGGGAGGTTTGATTCAGCATCGGCGCGGTTAACGAATCAGTTCCGTGGTGAAAGCACGCCAGTTCAGGCATGATGAACCCCGCCACATCTGGCTTTGTCCCGCGTAGTCCGGCTTACATGGTTAATCCTGCGGGCTCCACCCGGGCGAACCGAAATCGGGTTCAATCGCCCTGAATCGTTCTCTTACGACGACTTCCCAGAAGTTGCGTCCTAGAGTCGGGGAAACGTAAGACTCGGGTAAGCAGGAACTCCCGTTTGCCGACGTTTTCTGACGAGCGCGTCCTGGATGTTGGCGGCCCAGTTTTCGTGGGATGTCTGCAGCGGGAGCTCGCTCCGAATTGCAGATTGGGTCTCGCCATTTTTATGATGTCCCGTCGGGCCAACCCGAGTCCCGCGTATCCGAGTCTTACGTTAAAGTCGGGCCTGCCCCTCTACACGAGGAGTATTCAAAAATAACCCCAAAAAAGTCAGAGGACGATTTTGTCGAACATTTTCGTTCGAATGCGTTTTGAGCATTTCTTGGGGTATCTTTGGTTTTTCATCGAACATCCGCCTGTAGGGGGACATGCCCGATAGAGGTCCGCCCCGGCGGGGTCGTGGTGTACTCGGTGTGCTCCTACCTGCCGCAGGAGACCCTGGCCGTGGCGCTCCGCGCGCTCGCGGAGCTGCCGCTCGAGCTCGACGGCGAGATCGGCCGCGGCGGCACCTCGGGCGCGGGTCTGCACGGCGGCTGGGGCGACGACTGCGACATGATGGGGTTCTTCTCGAGGCAGAGACGACCTTCACACGATGGGCCAATGTTCCACCGCCACCACCATGGTAAGGCAGGACGGGGGAGAAGGGAGGATGGGGAGGTCCTCCTCCTCCTCCTCCCCTCCTCCTCCTCCTCCTCCTCCTCCTCCTCCTCCTCCTCCTCCTCCTCCTCCCCCTCCCCCTCCTGCCTGTGGAAGTGGTGGGTGGAAGATGGGCCCGTCGTGCGCCAGCGTGCCACCGCGGAGCTCCGCGCGGAGGCCTTGGATCGGCCGCCAGCCGACCCTGGCCCGGAGCCCAGCGCCGACCCGAAGAGGCACCTGCGGCGACCCCCACGGGCCCAGACCCCCGACGTCGTGACTCGAGTTACGTCGGGCACGTCCTTCTACAGGAGGAGAATTCGAAAATAGTCAGCCTCCCGTCGTGATTTTGTCGTTCCTCGAGGGGGGTGTCCGGGAATCGCTGTGATCGCGCCGTCTTCTCTGCCTCGACCGTCGTGGTGCGCTTTCGGCGGCTGGCGACGCCGGCGCTGGGGGGCGCCCGGCTGCGGCGGCGGCCCGGAGAAAAGTCGCGGCGCCCGCGCGCGGCGAGGCGGCGCGGCGGGCCGTGTGTGCGAGCCCTCCGCGGCCAGCCGGGCCCCCCAGGTGGAGCCGGCAGTGCGGTGGCCAGCACGGGCCATCCCGGGCCATCTTCGGGCCATCTTCCCAGACCCCCTCGAGGAATGAAACGTCATGACGGGAGGCGTTTCGCCATCTTCGGCCTCTGAGAGCCCTTCCCAGGGCCTCGGGGCTGGCAAGGAACGACTCGGGATGACAAAACCCAGTCCTGGGGAATAGGTCGAGGCCTCGCGGGGTCGACGTAATAAAAAAATCATGACGTTGGGGGGTCTGGGTTAATGGCCATCTCGGGGCCGTCCTGGCGCTTCCGAGGCGTCTTGGGGCCCTCCCGTGGGCCCTGTGGGGCCCTCCTGGGCGACTTGGGTGTCACCTTGGGCGGCCTCTTGTGGCCCCCTCTCTTCAGCAATGGGCCGTCTGGGGGCAGTGGTTGGACATCTTGGGGGCAACCATGGGCAGGCAACACCATATAAGATTCAGGTTGCGCTTTGACAGTAAGCGGTAGGGGCCCAGTGATTGTAAAAATGTTTCCCGTGCGTTTCCGCTCGAGGAAAGTGTGCCCCCCGCATCGGATCTTGTGTGTATAACGGTGTCCAGAGAGCCCTGCTTGAATCTTTTGCATACAATCCTGGACGATAGTGAAGTCCCGAGGGCAATGCACGAGAGCAGAGAACTGTTTCTGTTGTGAGCCCGCTCGAGGATGGCGCGCCCCCCTCAACATACGAGGATGGGAAGGTTACAGGACTCCCCAGGACGACCCAGGAGGCCCTGGGAGCATGGACCCGTAGCGATTCAAGCAGGATCGTGACCCTGGGAGCGCGGAGCCACCGTCATTTACCAGGTGGCCTTGGCCCTGGGAGCGCGCAGCCAGGAAGCTACAAGGGCTCGTGGCCCCGAAAGCGCGGACCCCGTGTAATCGACAACGGGTCTTGGCCCTGGGAGCGCAGACGCAGCGCAAATGACAGGCGGCCGCGGCCCAGGGAACGCGGACGCAGCGTGCTTCACAAGGGTTCGTGACCCGGGGAGCGCGGCTCCAGCGTAATTGAGCAGGGGCTGGCCCACGGGGCGCGAACCTAGCGTAAGTCATGAGAGGCCGTGGCCCTGGGAGGCGCGGGCGCCGAGCGCGGATCCCGTGCAATGCCCCTAACAAGAGGCCGTTGCCCCTTGGAGCGCGGATCCAGGGTAGTAAGATACGAGGGGTCGTGGCCCCGGGTGCGCGGAGCCAGGGGAATCTACAGGGTACAGTGGAGGCCCATGTCAAGGAACGCCCTGCTTGCCCCCAGGGTGCCCTGGGTTTCTTGGGTTTCGAGGGCTTTCCTATGGAAAGCGTGATGCTCCCACACCATGAGTGCCCAACTGACTCCCAAGACGCCTGGGGAGGCCTCCAAGAGGACTCCCAAGAGGGCCCCAGTGCGGGCCAGATCATGGAAGCTTCTTTCAACAGATCTGGCGCTCAACGGCTTGATGAGATCCTCCTCCTCCTCTTCCTCCTCCTCCTCCTCGCCCGAGATGAGCTCAAAGACCAGTGGACGTCCTGGGGTCTCAGGGTTGGGTTTCTCGTGGCAGGTGCCTTGTGGACTGGCCTCCACTGCCTCGTGTGGCCTCGGTGGCTCAGGCCGGCTGCGGTCTGCCACGAGTCGCGGTGCTGGGATCGCGAACCGAGTGCGATTTGCCTGGTGCTGTGGGCGTGGGAGCGGGGGGCCAGGATCAGCTACCAGGGATCGCTGCCCTGGGAGCGCGGCGCCAGCGTCGTGTGTTCGGAATCGTGGTCCTGGGGGGGCGGAGCGGGGTTCATTCCAACAAGGGGTCGTGGCCCTGGGAGCGCGGAGCCAGCGCAGTCGACGAGGGATCGTGGCCGAGGGGGCGCGGACGCGGCTCAATTCACAAGTCATCGTGTGTGGCCTTGGGAGCGCGAGCCCTCCAGCGTAATTTACGAGGGATGGTGGCCCTCGGACCCTTGAAGTGCTAGCGCAACGTAAGTTTCAAGGGATCGTGGCCCTGGGAGCGTGGGAGCAGCGTAACTTACAAGGAGCCGTTGCCCAGGGAGCGCGGGCGCAGCGTACTTTTCGAGGGATCGCGTGCCTGTGAGCGCGGAACCAGTATAAGTGACAAGGGGCTGTGGCCTTGGGAGCGCTGACGCAGCATAATTTACAGGGTATCGTGTGGTCTTGGGAGCGCGGGCCATCCAGCGTAATGTACAAGGGATGGTGGCCCTTGGAGCGCGGACTCAAAGAAAGTTTCAAGAGATTGTTTTGTGCTCCTGGGAGCGAAGAGCACTGGTACTTGTTGACTGGGCTGGCCCTCCGAGTGCGGATCCGGGCTCAGGAGACGCCATGACGCTTCCCGGACCTCTTTTCTGGGGCGCGTTCTGACCAGCATCTCGAGGCGAATCTGGCGGTGGCGAAGAGGGCCTCCCAGGAGGCCACCGAAAAAGAGGAAGCGAGGCAAGGTTGGTGGTATGGGTACCTTCTCCTCCTCGGAGCTTTGCCTTCCCAGGTCGACGCGGCGGCGACGCCCGCGCGAGAGCGCGGAACGCCGCCACGTGGCGAGCACTCGGCCGACGCAGTGAGCGATCGGCCTCGCAGGGGAGGCCGCGACCGTCCGAGGTCGAGCGGCCCGCGCGGCGTCGGCGACCCAGGCCCACGCCATCGCGACTTGAGCCTCGCGTGCTCCCCGGACCCCCCATCGAGCAACGCACAGATCGTGGCGGTTTTTTTTTTCGCCGTTCTCGGCCTCTGGACGCCCTTACCGGGTCTCGAGACCGTCAGAAAACGACTCAGGATGAGGAGCTGGCCCCGGGGAATGGGTGGGGTGTTGCTAGAAGTGCCGCTGGCCCAAAGGTGCCTCCAGCTTTTCGCTCCAGTTTGGAGCCCCTGGGGCCCCCTGGGCCTCGCAAGGGGTGCCCTGGAACCCCCGAGAACCCCAGGGGTACCTTGGGCGCCAGGGGCACTTCTAGCAACACCCGACTGGGGGTCCCGCGTCGTGAGCAACATCGCGGCGTCGGGGGCCTGGGTCGGGCGCTCGACGACGTGGTCGTCTCGGCGTGCGGGCCCCCCCCGGGCCCTCGCGACCCCGTGCCCGGGGGTGGTGCCTCGCCCCGGGGCCGTGCCCGATGGACAGGCCCTGCACCCGGGGCCTGGCAGCGGGCCCCACGGGCCGAGGCCGAGGAAGAGCACGCCGGGAGGGGCACAGAGAAGCGCGTCGAGAGGGGACCCCCGCTGCGTCGACGAGGGGCTTCCTGGAGGCCCAGAGGGGGCGGAGAGCGCCCAGGGACCAGGAGTCTCATGCCTCGAGCCTCGATCCACCCCGTGTCCCTTCCTTTTTGCGAAGGGGCGGCAGCGGCCAGGGAGGTCGATCCTCATCCCGGACTTTCGTCGGAGACCTGGGCGTGCCCTGTTGGCCAGGCCAGGAGGGCGCGTGCGCCGATCCTGAACATGGTGCAAGAGGTCAAGGAAGACGTCCGGCTTCGTTGCGCCGTGGATGTTCCAGTCGGGCAAGGGTGGCAGTCACTGAGCGTCCTCTGTTCCTCCCTGGCCCCTCACTTGCGTTCGCCTCCTGTCCTGCCTCTCCCTCTCCCCCATGTCGCTGCGTAGACACGCGCGGGCCACGGCCCATGCGCAGTACGAAAGACAAGGATGGGCGCGAGTTGGGGCTCGTGCCCTCCAGCCTGCCCGAGCTCGGGCTCGGAGCATCGTCGCGCCGCTCGTCTCGAGGGCAACGTTGGAGTGTGATAGCCTCCAGGGGGGATGCATCGACCCCTATCATCGCCGATATGGGCTCCGCTGGCCCACCCCGCCCAGGAGCGTGTGCTTCCTGCTACCAGGGGCCTGTCGCCGATCCACAGCATCGGCGATGCATCACCGACTCCGGCTCGATACCTCCCCCTTTGGACCCGGCCCCCCCCCCCACACGTCTGGGCACCTCCTGTCCCTCCCTCCCTCAGGAGGGGAAAAAACACACAGACACAATTAATCGTCGATCCCGAGGAAAATATGGGAAAATATGGGAAGTGGTGGGGAAGACAAAAACCAAGAAACTATACGAAAATATGGGAAATCTTTTTATTTGTGTGTATTTATTTGTATGTCCCAGTTTCCCTTCACTCCCATCATCCTCGCGCCGCTTGCCCGCCCGCTGCAGCCGGCCCCTTCGGCAGGGGCGCTGGCGCCCCGAGCTCGCCAGCGCGGCCTCCCACGGCCCGGGCCTCCGACGGCCGTGGCTCCCGGCCGTGCGCGGCTGCGGGTCGCATATAGCCCCTCGGGGGCCCGCGTCGACCGGGTCGGTGCCTTGGCATCGCTCGGAGGTGTGCATTTTTCCTTCGGCGAGAACTATCGAGGAGCATCCTTGATCATTCGGGGAAAAAAGCCACGCGCGAAGCCGGAAAAAGCACAGGGAATGGACGTCCGAGCGATGGCGAGGTGCGATTCGACACCGAGCTCGGTCGGCCCGGCCCGGTTCGGTGCCGAGGCTCCGACGGCCCGGAGCGCGCCACCACCCGCCCGCCCGCCCCTGCGCCCACGGGCACCGCGGGGCGGACGGGCGAGCGGGCGAGCCGGCGGGCGGAGGCGTGGGCGCCGTCGTCATCGAACTATTTCTCCCTCGCCGCTCTGATTCAAGCAGTGGCGAGGCGTCCCAGCATGCCTGTAGCCCTGCCAAGCAATGTTCTAATAACCTGCTGTGGTGTCCACGAAATGTTCTTAGAACATTTCTGGCTGGGACTGCTTTGTTTTAACACACCGGGTTTATTTATGCTTTAAGAACATTGTTTTTGCTCTTAGGACATTGTAGGGCTCGACGAACATTTCGTGGTAGGACTATAGGAATGCAGGGACGGTCGGTCCCTGCTCAACTTATGTAGCACAGACGAACATTATTCGTTTCGCCACCTCGGTGTTGCCACGTGACGAGTGGACGAACGTGTTTCCGCTCCATGCGTTGCCACGTGGCGAAATTACAGTAAGCATAGTGGTTATTGTTGTTCGACCCCCAGGCGATGCCACCGGACTGGCAGAGCAAAGCTTTATCTATTTGGCATCCTCGCGTTGCCACCTGACTCACCTGACGTGGGTAAATGGGCGATTATTTCGCCCTCTTGCTTCGCGACGCAGCGACTACCGTGAAGTACTATTTGCTTTCGCCCTTCCATTCGTTGCCACGTTCTGTGGAGAGCAGGATGAAATGGGTGTCCGCTCCCATGCGTTTCCGCGTGACGAGTAGAGTCGAACATGGCCCTCCCATTCCCGAACTATTCCCGGGTGCATTCCGAAGCTTTCTGTCGGGCGGTCGGGCTCAATCAACAATCACGGATGCAAACGTAAGTGATCGACCAGGGCAAGGCTGGAATTCTCGGATACTTACGCAACACACGGATACAACGAATAGGCGTTTTTGTTGCGTAGCCATGTGACGGGTAGAGCAGAATGTGATATGTGTGTGTGTGTGTGTGTTCCGCCTCTTTTCGTTGTCACGTGACGAGTAAAGTAGAACTGTATGGCTCCCGCTCCCAGTGATCGTGCTGCTTTTTCCCCACCAGGCGCTGTCCTTCGAAAATGCAGTAGGCTGTCTGTTTTCCGCTCCTCGGCGATGCCACGTGATTTGTTTCTTTCCCACCCCATGGATCGTATTCGTTTCTTCCCCACCCCCGGGAACTGCATTGCCGCGTGATGAGCAGAGTCTGATGGTCTTCCCCTGGGCTGGGACTGCTGCCGTGGAGCGAGAAAAAGGCGGGGAGAGGCGGGGAGCCCGGCTAGGGATCGGCGGCAAGCGAGGAGGGGAAACGAGAAGGAGAAGTTGTTTTGCGTAGGGGGGCACATGCGAGCCCTGCCCCTCCCCCCCAAACTTTTTCGAGGGGGAGGGTGGGGTTCACTTCGTTCGGGAGCTAGGGGTAGGGTTCGCATGTGGCCCCCTATTGTTTGCCTTCGGGGAAGGCTTGGAACACTTCTCAGAAGGCCGGGGGACTTCTGGAGCTCCTGAGAAGGCCTTCTCCTTCTCCTTTCCCCCCTCGCTCGCCGCCGAAGAGGGAGGTCCAAGGTAAGGGAGGGTAGCTTGCAGGGGCTGCAGAGGGAAACGAGGGGGGAAGGGGGGGGGGCTCGGCAGGAGATCCACAGGGGAGGGCGGGGGTGATTAGCCTCCGGAGGGCGAGAAAAAGAATGGAGCGGGGGGGGGGTCCTGGCTGGGGATGTCGAAGGGAGGGGGGGGATTATAAGCTTGCAGGGGCCGTAGGGGGGGAAGGCCAGAAGGGGGGGGGAGGGGAGCTTCCCCGGGGCGAGAAAACAGGGCGAGGGGGGCCGGGGCTCCCAGCTGCGGAGGGAGGGGGGGCAGCCAAGGCCCCCCCCCCCCCGCACTTTGCTCGGGCCCTTCTGGCGCGCTCTCTCGACGGTCCGATGCGGCCCGGTGTGGATCGCTCCTGCCCCTGTCCCCCTCCGACTCGCGGATCCATCCCTGATGGCCCTGGGGGCCCGGTCACGGCCCCCTGGATAATGGGGGAGGAGGGAGGGGAAGGAGGGAGGGGAGGAGGGAGGGGAGGGAGGAGGGAGGGAGGGGGAGGAGGGAGGGGGAGGAGGGAGGGGAGGGAGGGGAGGGGGAGGAGGGAGCGGGAAGACGAGTCTGCGTTTGCGGCCCGCCGAAGCCCAGCCTGCTCCAGAAGCCGCTCCATGAGCTCTGGCTCTTGTTCCTCACTCCTCCTTCCTTTTGGCAGGGGGCGGGCGGCGGGCGGGAAGCCGTTCTACGTTCAGTGCCCTCCTATAGTTTATTTTTTGACCCACTTCTCATGCCGCCGACATCGCAGAGCGGATTTCGTTCGGAAAACGACAGGATTGGCCCGGAGTGTCCCGGAGAATTTCGTTCCGGACTTCGAGGCGAATTTCGCGCGGATGTTTTTCGGGCCAGGAGCGAAGACCCAAACAGCATCCACGCGCAACTCATTCTGTTGTTCATTCTCGCCGTCTCGGGGTTTTGCAGCGGCAGGAGCGCACGCAAGCATCCGCGGCAGCGCGTCTGCAAAGGTCGGTGCAGTGGCACTTCTTCCGGGCGAGGTCCCGCGAGGCCTCGACGCCCCGCCCCGGCGTCGGCAGCTCGCGCCCCCCTCCTCCGTCCCTGCTTATGCCGCGGGGCGCCCGAGCCCCGGGGGGGCGGAGAGCATGTGCGAGATCGGGGCTCGGGGGGCGGGGGTCCGTGCCAGCGGGGGTCGGTCAGAGCGCCGGATCTGGCGGGATCTTGCAGGGCCAGGGGCGCACTGGCCCGGGCTTGGGTGCAGGATCCTGCAGATTTTGCAGGATTCTGCAAGGCCTGGCTGATCCGGGTCTGGATTGACCCGGGTCAGCAGATCCCTGAGAGATGGCCGAAGAAGTGAGGCCGGGGTCGAGGAGAAGTCGGGCGGGTGGTGGTCGGGGGGGGGGATCTAATCAATTGGGGGGTGAAGGAAAGGGCCCCTTAGGGCTCCCCGCTGGCTCCCACACGGGCCCTTGAGGGCCCCTTTGGGAGCGAGCAGGGGCCCAAATGGGTCCCTGACGGGTCCTTTGGGGCCCTTTCCTTCCCCCCTCGTTTTTGGATGCTCGTTTTGGAGACCTTCCCGGGGCCCACCTAACGAATCTGCTCGTCTCTAGTTCGACCCCAGTTCGACTCAAATTCGTCTCCTTTTCGACTCAGGTTCGACTCGGGTTCGACTCAGGTTCGGCTCAAAGTCGGCTCACATCGACGGACGTTCGACGCAGCTTCGACGCATGAGTGGAGCGAGTGTCTCCAGGAAAGTCCCCAGAATGAGCATCCAATCATTTGGGTCACCCCCCATTGCCACCCGCCCGATGGGCTTGAAACGGTCACATGGTCGGAGATCTAGTAAGGGGCAACATTGAGGGGGGGATAGGCTCAGGTCCAGGCCTCCCAGATGGGGTCGGGAGTAGATGGGGTCGGAGGTCGCGCCGCATAACCGATGCATCCGCGATGCGGCTCGATGCGGAGCCCGATCTTCTCCACGCTGGCGTCACCAGTGCATCGCCGCCGTTGCCGGTGCATCGGCGATGCATCGGCGACGCGGCGAGGTCCTCCTACCCTGGGGTCCCGATCGCCTTCGGAGTCGCCAGCGGGGGGGTGGGCCTGTCGTGGATGTGCGGGCGATGTACCCGCCGACTCGAGCTCGATGGCTGCATCCCTGGGCCCGTCCCCCCCCTCGGTCTTTCCCCCCCTCATCTGGGTCCCGTCGGAGGCCGCCCGGCGCGGCCTCCCCGCGCGGCCGCCATGAGCAAGCGCTCGGCCGAGGACTCGGCGGGCGGCGCGGCGCCCGCCGCGGGGCGCCCGGTGCAGCAGCTGGGGAGCGGTGCAGGACCTCTGGGGCGCGCGCGTGGAAAAATACACCACAGGGGAAGTGGCAGTCAGTGGTGCCCAACATTTTGGGAAGCGCTCCCTCTGCCCGCTCTCGTTCCGTCGCTTTCTTGCTCTATCTCTCTCCCTCTTTCTCTATCTCTCTCGCTCTCTCTCTCTCTCTTTCTCTCGCTATATCTGTGCCTCTATAAACAGTTTACTTGACATGCCCTCCCAATTAATTTTGCAACCCTATCTACTCTCTACTCTTTATGTAGAGATGTGTATCTGTCTGTCTGTCCGTCTGTCTGTCTGTATGCATACATGCATGTATCTGTAGATGTACACGCACGTCCCTCTCTCACGAGGTGTACTTTGCCACAGGCACGGCTGGCGCGGCTGTCTCACGAGGAGGCCCGATTTTCGAGGACTTGGAGGAGGGTTTCCGACAGCAGCGGCGCCGCTCGCGGCAGCCCATCGCGACGCAAATGAGCCCTGCCGCGGCGGTGCTGTCCATGACCATGGGCGACTTTAACGGGGTAGCCCGCGCGGAGGACACGGTGGCACTCGCCACCGGGGAGGCTATGGGCCACGCGGACAGATCGGAGGAGAGGCGCGCGGGCCAGGTATTGTGGCGGCCGCGCGGGCTGCACGAGCTGCGGCAAGCTGAGCCTGGTCGCGGGAGACCGCGACGTGCTGCGGCCACCTCGACTGAGCTTATCGGAGTGCCGACGTGGCTGGCCAGTTGGACAGTGCTCTGCTCTGCGCTGCGTTGGAGTGGGTCCCGCACTTGTCGGCGCAACGGGCGTAGGCGTTCTCTCCGCGCTCCCCGAGCCACCGCCCGGTGGAGCGCGCGCCGACCAACGAAGAAGACGTCGTCAACCACCCAATGTGGGCAGCCCGTGTTGCGGCGAAACACATGGATCTCCGGGCTCAGAAAGCACGCTTGGGGCATTTCTCCGGCCTGGCAGATCTACGGCTCGTGAAGCAGGCAGTTCAGACCGTCTATGATTGCCTGCTGCGGAAGATGCTACAGCGCAACAGCAGGTGGATGAGGAGGACCACATGGACCGCACCATGCGGTTCATCAGAGCCGCGGTGCGGGGCAGCGCGGGGATAATGCGGACATGCGTCGCCCTCTTCCCACGCCAGGGCACCTTAGTCGCTATGCCGATCACGCTGGCCTGGCAGCGGGGTGCGAGGTTGCAGCCGTACCGCAGCTTGGTTGTGGAATTGGTTCGCGGTGCAGCAATCGATCGCCTGACCGAGTTGTCTGCCCAGCAGGCCGCGCTCCCCGCGGAGGAGCTGGGCGCTAGGAAGGGTCGCGTTCACAGACTAGTGCAGGGTCTTTCCCCTGAGCGCTCAGAGGGGAACCTCGGCGGCGGTGGATCTGCGCGGCGAAGTGCCCACAGATCCGGCTCGCTGCTCGCGCACTGGCAGGACATCTTTCTTTATAAACCGCCAACTCTTCGACGCATGGCTGGCTGATGATGCGCCGCCGCCACTGCCGCCGCACGACGACGAGGCGCGGCGACTGCAGCACAGCCGCGTGCTAATTGCCGTGGGGACTCTGCAAATTCAGCTTCTGGCCCCGACTGAATTCCGTTCCTGGCTTGGACGAAGCTCGACCCGGATGTATTTGGGCGCGTTGCAGGCGCTACCTAGCGTCGGAGGGCCCTTTCTGGCGGATCTCGAGGATTATGTTTGCGGCATCAGCGCCAGCCTTAAGGCGCTCCTACCGGAGGGCGACGGGCTTCTCCCAGACGGTCGCACAGGCCGCTCGCCAGCGAACGCGCGGATTTTGAACATCCCCAGCCCTTACACCAGGCTGATGGCAATCGCGGTGAGGCTGTGCGCAGAGGGTCCGCTGTCTGTTGCTATGTCTGTGGGCAAAAGGGGTTTGTGCCAGGCCGTTCGATGCTCTTGAGCGTTGTCGACGCGGACGAGGCCATGATGCTCACCGCTCTCTCGCGCGAGCGGGTGGCCGCCTCGCTCTTCGACTTCCAAGCGGCGTTTCGGAGCATTGCGCGCGCGCGCGTTCCTCCCGCGCGCCCGGCGAGGACGTCGAGGGCTGGGGTGGAGAAAAGGGGGCGGGCGGGTGGGGGGCGGGCATGGCGCGGGGGATCGCAGGGGTAGGGGTGGGGAGTTCCTGTATGTCTCGCAGCATTTTCTCGCCACTTGTGCGACGGGCAGAGCGAGTGTCTGGAGAATAGTGATAGGGCTGGTAGAGAGGGCGCGCTTTGTCTTGAGCTTCCCAAGCCGCGCGGAGCAATGGTCCTGATAATGCGATGTACCACGGAGCCAATGTATTATTATTTTTGTTGTTGTTGTGCAGCGTGCCTCACATTCAATTTCGAATCTGCCGGTCAAAACCCACCCCGCAACCTGTGCGTTTGGTCGGCTCTGCCCATCAATGCGACGAGTGCCCCGGGAGGGATGCCGATGGCGGCCACCAGCTCGAGAACACCACTAACACTGACATCGACACTGGCGGCGAACATCCCAGCCTCGTAGACCTCGAAATCGACGATCGTCCGACCGTCTCCCGCGCGAGGGGGATCTGCTCGGCGACCCCCACGACGCAGTGGAAGACGCAGGACCTGAGGGCG